AAATACATCCATATCCTGTGTGAGTAAAACTGTCATCATCAGTCAATCACAGATATTCCCGTCTTTCAAAAGACACACACAATGTATTTCAGGCCTTAGCGCTGTCACACTAGCTTTTATTGCCCCATTATCACAGCCGAATGATTTCAGGATAACAATATTACATCATCTCCATGGAGAATCTGAATGTCAATACCTTTAACATCAGTAAATCTCATCTTTAGCTTGGTTTATGTTTTTTCCCCTCATAAAAAGTCATTAACTGTGAGCCCATCACTTATCAACTATATGTCAGAGCGTCTGCTAAAAGGTGGTTTTTTGTTTGGCTCATTTTAACCTGCTTTTGCTTTTCAGATCAAATTTGCTAAAGCATTATTGTCGTGGCACGCGGCTATCAGCATGATAGCTTGTTTGAATAATCAGCATTATTTAAGCAGGTTTTTTTTATTTACTTGATGTTTAAGTGCTCCTGCTCAAATATTACTGGTTCTTTTATCTCCTCTTGGCAAATTAATTATACTCAAGATATGACTAAAGCGAGTTGGTAACAGTCTTCAATAAATGTTCAAACGTTTACAAATAAAATGATTATTCATTCATTAGCATTTAATGTAGCTTTAAGAATCAATGAGCTCCAAATATAAAATGATATGAGGCACATTTTAATCCCTGGATTGGATTTAAAAGAAGCTCCTTTTGGGCTACAGTTACAAATGTAATACAAGAAACCAAAGCAAGAAGAACTGCTGATACACTCACAGCTTTAACCTCACTGTGTCTGCAGTGTGAGGCAGACACACTCAAAACATGCATTCATTTGCTTTCAATCAGTAAACTAATATTTTCACGCTGCCCTCGTGACTACAAAGACCATCGCCTACTGATCAATCACGTCTCTGAAAAGTGGCACCACCATTCCCAGGAGATCCCTCAGGCCTCGGAGCACATGGAGTACGGAGGTCAGACGTCTTTAGAGAGCTCAGAATAATGTTTGATTGATACGAAGTTCTACTGCACAAAATGTGACCAATGACATAAAGAAAACATCTGTGAGAAGATAAAACTGATCACTTTGTCTTTAAAATACCACAAAAAAATGAACTAAAGAGAAAACACAAACAAAAACTTTGCCATTTGTTAGCAGTTTCCTAAACAAAAATATGTGCAGCAATGTTCTCTCTAAGCTGCGCCTGCAATTGCGCACTGCGGCACGTCTCTGCGCACAGAAAATCTGTGTTGCGCACAAAGAAAAAAATCTAACCTGAATTAAAATTAAAATTTAACAATTCTGTTCTGCAGTGTTAGTCAGTGACTGGCTGCTCCCGTATGGGATCAGAACGATGCCACCTTATCCCATAGTCCAGCCAATGATGCGATTCACATTCGTATATACGCAGCTAATCAACGTCTTGACAGGCTATGACAGCGTCCTTATGTGCCGACACCGGTGTTTTAGCAAAGCGGCTGATGTGGAGTGAAGCCACGTTAATGACAACGTGTACAACCATTGGAGATGTGAGCAGGACAGACGGAACAACTGACGGACAAAGTGTGGACTTTATACCAGTTTTTAAATTGTGTTGATCGGCCACGTAAAACCAGAGTTATGATAAAATATCTGCAATGTTTGTTTTTCTTCCTGAATACTGTCGTTGTTTATATTTACTGCAGGAAGAAACGGTAAAAACTGCGTTTTATAAGGAAAACGCTCGAAAGCCTGTGAGCAAAAACAAACCAAAACTCCCAGCCTTTCCTATTGGTGGAAAAATGTACCATGTGGACCAATCAAAAAATGATATGGCAACATGGCATTTAGTGGTTTAGGACGGGGGGAGTTTTAGGAGTGAAGGCGGAATTGAGATGTGAGAGATTTGCAACGTTTAGCGCAAATCTTGTGTAGTTAGTGTGTAGTGTAGTCAATAGTGTTGTTGTGTGTTCAGAACAATGAGGCGACTGCTGAGTGTTACAGGTGTTACAGCAGTGACACATCTGCTGCTGTCAGGCCTGCAGGTATCAGGCTGTTGTTCTCCTTCATCTCATAGTGGACAGAAATTATTTTTTGGAGCGGCACAAATAATTTGTGTGGCATCAGATTTGATGCAGAACAGCTGATTGTTCTGTAAATAGTTTGAAATGTTTGTTTAAAAAACGCCTTGGCTGCATTTTTAGGTAAACAGCTGCAAAAAACTTTGTTGTTTGCATAACTCAGTTACTTTTTTGAAGAAGTAACTATATAATTAATTGCCCAACATTGGTCAGTATATCCTGTATTTTGCAGACAGAGTTACAGGACTCTCTCCCAGACCACAGACTCATAATACAAGTCAGAGCTTTATATTAAAAAAAAATGTAAAAAAGAAAGTACGTTGTGTTTTCAAAATTGGAGTTAAAGTTATTTTTCCTTCCAATAGTGTTAACATGCTACACAGGTCATGAACAAGGTTTTTTTAAATTTTCATTGTAAGTGGGCTAAAGCAGTTAATTAAAGATAGTCTAACATAAATGTAAATGCTGTAATTTGATTATTTTACTAAACCATGTAACTTGGATGGATTCGATGCTGGCGTGACCACAGTGCACGTCTGCTGTTGCTCACATTGGTCCAAGGGGCCGCTCAGGGAGTTTGTGTGTTTGCTCAGACACATGAAAAATTAGAGGGAACATTGATAGTAAGCAAGCTAAAGAGACACCTGGAAACCAAATATCACATGACATCTGAACCTGAGGCAGAAACCTCTTAGATCGTTAGATTAATGCTGGATTTTTTTTAAATGTCTGATAAAGGTTTTGAGGCATGTTAGTGGAGTTTAGTGAAAAACAGACATTGTAAGTAACAGAGTCTGAAAACCATTTGAAGTCTTCATCTTTCCCTGACGAGGATCAATAAGAAACCGATAATACAGGAGGAATTATCTCCCTGCTGGCTGAAAGCAGGTTTATATGGAAGTAATTTTAAGTTTTCATATAAGAAAATCTTAAATTGAGACCTTGCTGACCTTGAATGTACTCAATTTCAAGTACTATAAATTGTTACACCATTTAACGTCACGTCTTTGTGACTGAAAGTAAATGGCCTGTATTTGTATAGCGCTTTACTTAGTCCCTATGGACCCCAAAGTGAAAGAATCAAGACTTACACGACAAACACGACAGACTACTTTCATTAAAGCAAATCACCTGTTTTATGTCAGCTTTCTCTCCTGGCTTTATTAATATTGTGCTTTTGTAGGTTTACCTACTTCAAACCCTACTATACATACTGTACAAAGGGATACACAGTGTTCAACCTCTTCGGATATTTAAAATATAGTTTTCCTGTTTGTAAAGTACACTGCTCTGCCACTAGTAGGGGTGGGGAAAAAAAAAATCCTGTGTAGTATCGTGATATTTTGTTTGCTAATAATGTATCGATACAGGGACGGCAGATATTTTGTTACAAAAAAGGTTTCTGTGCTCTGACTTCAGAGCACGTTGATCCTTTTTCTGAGCAAGAATCCTGAAATTCCTTCACTGTCCAAATGTGTTTAACTTTTGTTTTTGGCAGCAATAAACATGACAGTTTACTTATTTTAATTTAAGACATGTTTTATTCTAATTAAGTGTAAAACTTTATTTAATGTAAAATTATATTTTGTTTTAATTTACTTTCAAATTCTTCAGTTGCTGAATGGGCTGCATAGTTTTCATAAATTGCATAGTTCAGAATAGCTATAATTGTACCAGATGGTTGCATTCAGTTAAGTTGGACTAGACTGTAATACAAACTGTTCAGTTTGTCAACAATAAAACTGACTGAAATGAGAGAAAGACTGAGTGTGAGACGTTGATATTAGATAAAATGAATATTGATAAAGTTTACCTTTATGTACAGAATCTGAATATCGCAAAATATTTTTAAAAATTGCAATAATATCGTATCGTGCGTTAAGTATTGTGATAATATCGTATCGTGCGTTAAGTATTGTGATAATATCGTATCGTGGGATGTATGGTGATTCCCACCTCTAGCCACTAGTAGACCTGTCCTTGTTTATGATTGGTCATATGATGCCAACATCACTTCCTTCATGTGATTGTGCTCTTAACTAGTTTGGGAAACCCAGAAAAAAAACAAAGGCTGAGATTAACACAAAGGCTTAGCTTAAAAACTCAGTGTCAGGAGTTCATGAGGAAACAGGAGGAGGAGGTTAGTCAGAATGATATAACCTCCAAAAACAACCACAAGGAGAACTGAAGCTGAGGGAGTCACCCGTAAACATGACCGGGTTTGTTTTTACAGGGAAATAATCCTTAAAATATTAGCAGTGATGCTAATCACGGGAGCATTATGTCAAGTAGCATTAAGCTATCTTTAGGTAAAGTACGCAGGGCAGCAGAGCCTCTAAATAGGCTTGTTGTGCAGCCGGTCAGCTAGCAGAGTGTGAGGACACTGAATGATGTGAGTCTGTGTCAGCACGCGTTTACAACCCGGGTTTAAATCCGCCGGCAGCTCAAGTGTAAAAGGAAAACAATACTTGAGGTTTTCACAACTCTCCGTGACATAAGCAACCCTCATCCCGACAACATATTTAACAACAAGCACCACCAACTATTGTCACATAAACCCTCATAACATAACTATTATTATGATTGGAAATAAGTTAACTGATTTTCCAGAATCCACCTCTGGGGGTGACTAAGACAGTCAGTAAGCATGGTTATCATATACAGTAAAGAACATGAGACTGTTAGCTGGAAATCAACAGACTTATGTCACTTCTGATCATCTGATAAGTCAATAAAAATCCCAAATAACACACATGTTGGTAGAGGGATATTCCCTGTGGGGACAAACAAATGCTATCTGCAGAACAAAGGTTTTAGTTATAACAAAGACAATAATCACATTTCCACATAACTCTTTTTTCAGCCAGTTGTATTAACTGGAGGAGTTTCAGTTACTGAAGAATAAAGTTGTCCAATCTAACAGGACATACAGTCCAATTAGATCAGGCAACTAAATGCTACATACGTGTGTTTTCTTTTTTTATCTGCTGCATGTTTTAAATTCAACAGATATTCAACAACCAAAAAGCCCCAATCTGAGCCAAAAACAACTCTGTATGCACAGGCTAAACAATGCTGACTGCAAAATAGTTCAAAGGAACTGAGTCGTTCAAATTTGATAAATCTCTGTCTCAAACCGAAATCTGTGGGAGGATCCACAACTGGTGAAGATTGCTGTACAATTGAAACTTCCAAGATATATAAAAATAAAAAAAAGTAAAAATTGACTGTTCTTATGTTTAGGCAAAGACTGAAATTAGAGGTCATATGTTAAAGCTTCAAAATAAGTGCCCTAAAAAGGCTCGAGATGGGCAGAATTTGCTTTTAAAAGGATGTTTTGGATCAGAGCACCTGAGGAAATCTGTGCCTCTTTTACACCATCGTCATCTTTGATGATTAATACTACGTTTTACCAGAAAGGAAGAGTTTCTATATCTATATGAGAATTTACTAGAGAACTGCTTCCTCTAAAATAATATAATATGTACTTTAAGTCAAGTATTATCAGCTGGCTAACATTTCTGAGACTCTTACTTTAATTAACCAGTCACTGTGTACATATGCCTGCTTTAAGATGGATTTCTTAAGGTCAGGACGTCATACAGGAACGTGAGTTATTCCATTTTAACTGTGTATACATATGCACACTGTTAAAGCACTAATCATTTTAGCCACATTCTTCATATCCAAATATTTTAAAAAGATTGCCCTGCTTTTCAATACTGACACAGAAAAAAAGACTTGTAAGTTATGTGAAATATTTCCATTTATACCAAGTTATGTAAAACTCTGGTATTGTAAAATAATATTTGCAATATGGTCAATAAGTGAAATGTATGTATGTATATAAATCAATCCATCCCTACCCTCCTTTGATTGTAATTATGCTTCAAAATATGCAACAGATACATTTTATATCTACATATATAGCACATATTATAAAGTTATGGCACTGTTTACAGTGCAAAACAAACAAACGGACTAAAAATATATATTTATATCCATCTAGACAGATATACACGCACACAAAGACACAAACCCCCCACAAACAGGTGAAAAACTAAAAAACTGATTAGATGAGAAATGGACAGCTCTTCTGTCCGGACCTCAGTCCATTCAAAGAAACCAACAAATGATATGCAGTCACTGGGCAGGGCTTGTACCCAGGAGGAGGGATTAGCTTAAATATTGTCCTCTATCCTGTCACCCATTAAATCCGACAGATGATCAGCTAATGTGCAGCTAGCACATGGAAAACAATCGGTCTGCTGAGCCCGTTTACGACCTAATAACCTGCCAGAGAAGCAAAGTCCAAGGAGAGGGGAAATATGCGAGACGTTTTCAGCTAAAGCAGCAGCCTGTGCACAGGATGGAGGCTGGGCGGATGGAGGGAGGGTGGGGGACCTGCGGGATGAAGCTATCAGCAGGCTGTTGCTGCGCCTCCGTGCTACCGGCGGGCTCTGCAGGATGCGACCTGTGTGGGTACGTAAAGCGGAGCATTGCACAGCAGCCATCCTCCCTCCTTTATGCCACTTACTCGAACATGTCATGAGGCGTTTGTGGTCCAGCTGATGGTCACAAACCCTCGCAGCAGGAATATGGCACCGGTGTTCCTGCTCGGAGTGTGCAGATGAAGCACGGCCGCTATCAGGGTTTTTCTTCTGCCGCGTTTCCTTCAATAAATCCGAATTAATTTCCCACCGGGGCCGACGCCCCTGCACCTCGCCGGTACCGGACACACACCGCTACTCCCTATGCCGACTGCAAGACCCGGTAACGGGCTGCCGTGTCTGCGTCCATCCGTAATCCTTTTGCAACTATAGGGGGAGGGTGGGGGAAGGTGGGGGAAGGAAGAGCAGGAGGAGGAGTAAGGGAGTGAGAGAAGGAGGGAGGGAGGAGGTTCCGTGTGTATTTTTTTTTGTAAACCGCTCAACTGATGGCATCGACAAGGATGAAAAGTCCGACTGAGCCGTTTCTACCTTAATGAAGTGGGCAGGGGCGTTTCCGGGTGGAGGGTGGCACACGGGGCAAGGACGAGGCATGGGGCCCCACAGGAATCAGCAGTAAATACACAACAAAGCTGGTCAAGTATTACAGAGGATATCAGCGAAAGGGAGAAAAACCAAAGAAACGAACTTCAACTTAACTGGATTTGTCTGAATTAAAATCTTAAAAATAATCAATAAAACTTATTCAGAATAAATGCAGAATATAGTGAAGTACAAGTATAAAGAAACATACAAATGGACAAGTATGTGAGGATACTTCAAGTAAAAGTGTATTAAAAGTCGTAGTTTGGTAAAGTATTTGCTTAATTCCACTACGAGCCCTATCAGAGCTCTCATCCAATGGGAGTCTTAAGTTTAACAGCACTCGAGTCCAAAGGCAGTGGTGGGAGGATCGGTGTCATGATATAACCCCCTCTGAGCACTTCTTTACAATGAAAAGGGTGAAAATCATGCTTCATCTCGATGAGGACGAAGTGGTTCCTCACAGTCAGCAGCTCCTTAAGTTTGAACATTTACTAACTCAGGTGAATTATTGACTTCTACAAGCATCCATGATGGATATCCAGGGGTGTGTCGCATGATCCCCACTAAAATACGACTAGGTTCTACTTCTACTCTACTTTATGTTCGATTCAAATACTTTATACCCAATTACGTTGCAATTTATTGTTTTGCAGATTTTAAAATATAAATAATTTAACATTCAAGTTAATACACATTTATAAATCAATTTTAAAAAATCTGTAATAAGGCCTTAGTTCTGCATATAGAACACAGATTAAATATTCCAATTTCAGCTCATATTAACAAGCTTTGTTAACAAGCGCCATCCATAAAGTGCACACGTGCATCACACGAGCAAATATATCTGCAAATTAGTACCAAGTCACAGCCTGCTAAAGCCCTAGGATCTCACTCAGCAAAACAGGCGCGCTGACTTTGTGCAGGTTAATAACTCACCTTGTGTCCAGTTATGAGGAGGGAAACTATCCACAAAGAGAAAAACTGCTTTGCTCTGAAGCAGGCTGTACTGTATTTTCACACATGAATCCATGGGGATGGTCACTTTTGGAGCTAACCTCAAGGTTTGTTAGTTTGTGGGTCATTACCTATTAATGTGTTCAAGTATAGCATCTTGTAAAGCTACAAACACGACTCCAATGTGGCTAGCTTTGACAGTACAGAGGCCACGTCTGCCTATAGTGAGTCCACCTGGCCAAAGTCCAGAGCCCACCCAATCCTTTAACCCTCAGGCTCTCTGTCCATCCCTCTGGATTACAGTCCACATCATAATCCACACTGGCCTGAGCTAGGCCCACATTTCCACTATTCTGTCTCCCTGTGTGTAATCTGCTTTTCTGAGGTTCACCCACAGATGGCTCATACTCATGTCAGAGTCTCATACACCAAGCGGGTAATGTGTAAGGCCAGATGAATGCACCGTAAAAGAGCAGCCAAACAAAGAGCTGCTTACTTTAAACCTCAGAGCCTGTGAGGGTACATGCTGTAACACAAACCAAAGAATACAACTACAAAAGCTAATTAACAACTCCAGGTTAAAGCAGTGACAGTGCGATTATCAGGGCCAGTAGTCAGCATTTTACTCCCCATCAGTGATGTTATTTCCTTTGTTTCATGCAGTGAAGGTATAGTAACAGGTAAACATCACAATCATCTCTGCTGAAGTATTAGCACCATGATTGTGCATGACTTCATTTCACTGACATGCATGCAGTATTTCCCCCGCTATACTGCAGCCACATACAGTTATAATGAGGCTACAGCTATGGATAAAAGCCTTTCAGTCAAGCTGCAAGAAGACTGGCATTTTCATACTGCTCTTCTTACTGACTCACAGCACTTTAGACTACAAACCACATTCACAGAGCACTTAACCTATATACATTAAGCCCTCCATGAAGCTGACATTCAGGGCAAATCTAGAATTATGGATTCAACATGCAGGTCTTTAAATGTCTGTTTCTAAGTAAACAAGAAGCCCAACCCATCAACGCAAATGGGGAGGAAGCTTGATAGTGGCTAAAGCTATGCTAATGGAAAAACGGCAGGCATGCTAGTAGTTAACAACACAGGCCGAATAAAACACAGACATGGCTTCTGGGTCTAAAAGATGAAGCCCAGTATGCCTCATGGTGGGAAGTTAGCATAGAGCAAATAAAAGATTCTGACATGTCATTAAAAAAAACATTAAAGGAAACATTTCTAATACATTTGCATGGAAAAATATTAGAACAATGACAGTTATTACTTCATATGACGACACAGTCCGATATATAAATCATCAGCACTGAAGCAGCATTGCTTATGAATGAGTTCTGCTCCCCTTTCCTGTTTAAATAAATACGATGTCAATTACAGAAGCAAAGATTCCTCTTGCTCAAAGACACCACACATGTATTGTTTTATTCCAAATGTCAGTCAGCAGCCTCACTGATTACTACTAATGCTGGTTAAAGTTGACATGAGGTCCTGCCCAGTAAAAGTGAGTAACTCTAAAACAATTCCTAAAAACAGCAACAAATGAATATACGCAGTGTGATCCAGAAGAGCTGCACTCATACGGTGACTAACATGGGTCACGTGTTATTATCAGTTAATACCATACAGCGAGTGATTATGCTCACATTATAGGGCTGAACATCATGTTAGTATATGACTCCTCTCTTAGAACGAGCATGTACGCACTTGTACGAAGAGGAAACAGAGCTGCTGAACTTTAACCTACACCATGAAATGAAACTGATGGAGTGCACTCTTGTACTGATTACTCTACACATAAAACATTGACACAACAAACCTCAGACTGTGTCCTCTGCAAAACAACACCAGAAGACAAGAACAGCTTTAAAGTGGTGGTCCATCAGACCCGCCCCTCCCTGAGCCTGGTTCTGCCGGAGGGTTCTTCCTGTTAAAAGGGAGTTTTTCCTTCCCACTGTCACCAAAGTGCTTGGTCACAGCGGGCCATATGATTGTTGGGTTTTTTTCTGTTGTATTACTGAAGGGTCCACTTCATAATATAGAGCATCTTTTGTGTTATTATGAGACATATGTATTATTTCAGATATTTCATATTTTAAATTTATTTAATTTACATTTATGATTCTATTCTATTGTTAAATCTTACATCTCGAACAGCTGAGTCACAGTTTAGTCCAAGAAAACTCTGTTCTCAGTCATGCTGCTGTTTTTCCTCAGTGTCAGTTCACATCATAGTGCTCCATTATCAATCACACGACCTACTTCTCTACACAGACATGTTCACTCAATCTATACATGGACACATGTGACCACCAACATGTGGTGCCGCAGTGCGTGAGCCGCTGATTTGATAATTCGACGTGATATTTGACAACTCACTGCAGACACATCCCAACCTGAATGAACTACAAATCTGTGGGAAACATGCAAATGTTGTGACAACTCTGAAACCTGTGCAGCCCCAGTTTCACCAAACATTATTTAAACCAAATGTTTTCTTTTCCATTTAAGCTCCACAAACATTTGCTTTCACCATTAAAAAACCCTCCCTAATCCTCGCTGGCCGGGTCAGCTGTGAACATTAAAAATCATTAATATGCTGCAGAACAATATAAGTAGGTCAATAAAAGGAGGCGCTGATGAAGAGGACAAGGGCACAGCTGTTCATGTGCATGCCCTCAGAAGCCCACTGCAGTGATCCACACATCCCTCATCTGATTGGGCTCACATGACATCATCAGACCAAGAACTCGCTCCCATTGGCTGGAGGTGATGTCATCATTCCGAGGAACAGATAAAGAGTGCAGGAACCCGCCTCTGGTCCTTGTGCCTGACTCAGCTCCGCTTTTCCTTCAGAGGTGGTCTCATTTTCTTTGTTTACAGTTTACATAACCCGGGTTCTGTCCTCAAAGTCACACCATCCTCTCAGGTCATCTGGAGCAGTGATGTTGATGTTTAAATACAGGGTACAGTCTTTGCTTTATCACTGCGATCCTGCCATCTGACTGCTTCTAGGTTTTTGTTTTTTTAAATTTGACATCATAGCATACTTTGACTCAATCAGGATTTTAACAGGTAATCTGCAAAAACAAATGACTGGTATGGTATGTGGGAGGAAAGAAAAGCTAAGATAAAAACACTTCCATGTTAATAAAAGAAGTTGTGTTGTAATGAGTTTTTAGTCAAAACGGGAGGATTTCTTAGACATGTGTCGCATAAAAGCTTTTCAGCTATAAATAAATACATTAATTAGAAATTGGGAGGAAAATAAATAGAGAATTATGTAGATTCTGTCACGAGGTACAGGAATCATATCTCCAGTTATTTTGGCATCATAAGGCTATATTGTTGTTGGTCTATAAAGGTGAAAAGTACATTTCCTCTCATAATTCATCATTTTAAAGTTGTCCTGTAACTAAATTACAAATACATCCTTAATCAATCACACTGCCCAAACAAGCTCATCCCTTTATAAACGGTTTAAATTTTACTTGAACCTGGAGTAACCAGATCTGACCCTTTCTGCTCCTCTGGGAGATTCCAGGAAGAAGAGGCTGTGAACTTTAACCCCCACCCGCATAATTCTGTTCAAACTCTGAACAATCATTTATAGCATTTTCTTAGAGCCATTGCCACAGCACTTATTATGGTTTTTACGCAGAGAAGAGGAAAAACAACCAGTGGGAAACTCCGCGGGAACAGAGGCACAGCACAGCAGCCACATGCAGAGAGCAGTGGTGGACTAATGAGCTTCTGCATGGAATCAAACTACTAAACATGTTAAAACATAAAGCACAATCACACCCAGGACACAGCTTTCATTAGGTGGGGTTCAGACGCTGTTACACACAAAATCCTTTGTAATGCAGTAAAAGTAAAAACAATAAAAAAAACAACCCTGCAGTTATGAAATGTTTATTTGCCTGGAGACACAAAATTGTTATTTTGTTAAAGAATAAAAAAGGAAACTTCATTTACTTTCAGCTTAAACACAAACTTTCCTTGAGCTTTTTTTTTTTTAATAAATTGTAGAAAGGTGAGATGACAACTCTTTAATCAAAATATATTTAAAGCTATGATTGAACATTTAAATACAGAATCATGAAAAAGGAGCTTGTCTAAGTAATATCAAGCTTTGCAGAAGCACACCTGACCCGACTTGCTTCAGTCGAATGTGCTGCAGCTGGTTTCTGACAGGTTAGAGATTCAAGATTCAAAGTGTTTATTGTCATGCGTCACAAGAGAAAAAAAAGACATTTCTCTGTGCAATGAAATTCTTGTGCTGTCCACCCACAGATGCCGATTAATATATAGAATAAAACATATAAATACAAATAGTACAAATAAATAAATGATGACAGAAAAGGTTGAAAGATTGAAACAGATGTGTGCAAAAGAGCTAAAGCAGAATATGCTGGCTTAATATGTAAGATGACCTGATGTGCAATATATATATATTTTATTACTGTTCAAAAAAATAGTTATAAAGAGTTAATGCACAGATGTTGAAATGAGCTGCACAGCTGCACGCAGAGACTGACTCCAAACCCTGACGAAACAGTTTCACTGACACGAAATGTAATGCCACCATCACAAGATAACGCATCCTCAGGTTTACTTGTGAACATAATCTCTTCATCTCTTCAGAGGAAAAAGTGCTGCTTAGATAAGTACAGGGTGGGCCATTTATATGGATACAGCGTAATAACATGGGAATGGTTGGTGATATTAAAGTCCTGTTTGTGGCACATTATATCACATATACTAATGTGCCACAAACAGGACTTTAATATCACCAACCATTTAATATGGCCCACCCTGTAGATTATTTTTATGTTGCCCGTTTAACCACAAAACTTTTCAACACCATAAGACACATCTAGGTGAAAAGTTACTATATGTACACAGCTGGATACAGAGGCAGTAACGGCAGGTTTACCAATCTAAGCACATCGCTGAGGATCTGTGAGAGCATTAGAGAACAGCAGTAACAGCAGCTACAGGTATCACATAAAACACCACAAACCACATACAGACTCATCTACAGGAGTTATTCTGACTTTTGAACGTGCAGCACAGCCGTGTGCGTGCGCAGGCTTTACGCGTCGTCTCCTTTCTGTGCTGCTGGATCTACTCACTGAACTTGCTACTTTTCCTGTGATACATGGCGCCCTGTTTGTGTGGAACGATGAGATAAGCTAAAACTGGAATAGAATTTTTTTTTCCTAAGTGTTACTGGATGCTGGACTCTATGTTCTTTTATGTAAATCAAACGATATCAAATTGTGTGCATATCGCCAAAATGCAGGGAGGTTAGGGGGGCACAGATACAGGTAAGCAGGACTTTTCCTGGGCATTTTTTAAAAACATAAAGTGGCGTGGAAAACACCCTGGATAACAAACATGTCTCCTGGATGCTGAAACAGGCTAAACAAAAAATGATTTTATTCTCTTTAGCAAATTAAACTTAATCTAAACCAAGAAGTTTATATTTTATATTCATATTACATTTATATCCCCACTGTGGGGGATAGGTTAATTGATTAATTCAAATTGCCCATAGGTGTGAATGCAGGAGTGAATGTGAGCGAGGATGGTTGTCTGTCCCTGTGTGTTGGCCCTGCGACAGACTGGTGACCTGTCCAGGGTGTACCCCGCCTCTCGCCCTATGACAGCTGGGATTGGTTCCAGCGCCCCCCACGACGCTGAAAAGGATAAACGGAACCGAATGGATGGATTACATTTATATCATTTATATTACATTTTTCCTTCACTTTAGTTCTTTATTTATGTTTTGGCCTTCCCCCAAAGGAGAATAAGCTTTACGAGAAGGCCCACACCTATTTTTACATATAAAGGAAAAACCCTGGATATACAGCTCAGTTCTTCTCTTTTTCCACCTCCTTAACTGTACGAACTTTGGCTATACGTCATACAAATAAAAAAAGAAAGAAAAACTTTTCATCCTGTCCTCACTAGCTTTAGGTAATTACCTTCACCCTAATCCAAAATAGCTGCTCTCGTGTAGTTTCAGAGAGAAAAATATGACTGAGAGCGTCATGTGCTTTTTATCTCTCACCAAATGTGCACAGATGAGAGGCTGCACAGCTCGTGTGAGTCACCGCCGTCTCAGCGGGCCTGAATGCAAATCGGCTGATGTTTTTACTGGCTGTAAGCACAGAATACCCAGGAGGCTGCTGAACACGGTGCGGACGCTCTGTTCTGACCTCCTGAACTTTATGTGCTGCGAGATAAGAAAGAACCTTCACTTGAATCACTGAAGGTAAAAAGAAAAGCTTGAGCTTGGCCTGTGCCATGAGGAGCAGATAAACTGTAGATAAAAACAAATAAATCACTGACTGAATCCAGCACACTAACCTGCAGCGGTCTCCGTCAGAGTCCCTGCCGAGCAGGCTCCTGAGGGACCAACGAGAGCGGCGGCTGGGTGACGGACTACGAGACCAGGAGCGAGACGGCGGTATGAGGAGGTCATGTGACGGACTGTCCCGACCTTGCTTCGCTGTCCCCATCTCAGTAACCAAAGAGGGCGAGGGACTCCGATGTTGAACAGCTCCCCTCTCTGTGGACGACTGTATCACGATTTGTGGAGTTTTGCCCCATTGCGGCTTATAAGCACAGCCTTGCTCTTCCTGTTTCCGCCTTTTGGTTCTTGTCCTACTACGGTGGGAGCCACGGGGTCGGTCGGAGCGCAGGGGTCTGGGACTAGGCGAACAAGACCAGGACTCTGTGTCCGAGGACGGCGGGAGGACGGTCAGCATCGGGACGGGGATGGGCTGAGCCAGAGTCATGCCCTCTGGTCTTGCAGGAGGGGACATCGTCATCTTTTGAGCTTTTCAGTCAAGGCCATCAAGAAGGACGAGCATTTAAAACCGACCACGTGTCGGCCACAGACAGCAACTTATTGATTACGCACCATGTTTCCTGTGAATTTAACAGATTTTCTTCTGAAGGTGCTGGTCAACTTCTCCTGAAGTGGTAAAAAAGGCAAAACAGCTCTCAAGTGAACAGGTTTGAAGGTTTCTTGCAGAGAAAAAATACGCAGCAGAAAACTTGTTGGCAGTCTCAGTTTCAGTTCTTCAACCAATCCACTTCCCGCTGTCCAGTCTGTACATTTACATATGCTGGCAACGAGAGGCTAAAACGCTCTGCGATCCTCCCACTTCTGTGTTCAGCTTAGAAGTCTCACTCTTTCGAGTTTAGGCAGACTTTCCTGAGATAAGGAGCCTCAGAGAAAAACATAGCACTGTCTGGAAGGAGCCACCTGAGGAGCAACAAGAGCAGAAACCTGGCGTTCAAAACGCTGGCCTGCCTGGACCTGACCACAGCTATCATAAATCTGCTTCCTCACACACAAGTTGTTAAAGTGATGGTTTAACTGATTACAGACATTTCTGTCAGACGGCAATGATTATCAGAAGACTGATCAATAGAATTCATCTGTAATGAGCTAATTTATGTTTGACTATTTTTGGATCATTTAAAGAAATTCTCCCTTCAAGAAACTCTGAAATAGCCAAAACTGGGTGAATGTTGGGGCTTTCAGATAACAGCCACTAATTAAAGCCTCAAGAGACCAATTTTTAAAACGCAGCTGCTCCAGAACCTTTATGATCAAACAAGCCAAATAGGGGTAAATTAGCCGATAAACATTACTGATCGGTGTAAATGTTGTTTTATTTGTGAATTAACAAGAGATCCAAAAACCCCGAAAGAGCCTCTGTTGATTTAAAAGGGTTGATTTCAAGCGCAATGCCCCCTCCCTGCTCAGTTTTATTTGCTTTAGGTTTGAAACATTAAGAGATGCTGGAGTTTTATATCCTGCAGCTATAACTGTTCAATGGATCCTGTGGAAACATAAAATAAATAGCTAATAACAGCTACCACCTATATACCTCAAAGACGCCTCAACTCATAGTAAACTTTCAGTTTTCTAAGATAGCTTGTAAATTGAGAAAAAAAGTGTGAATTTTTTTGTCAGAAAAGTTATACACCAGGGAACATTCAACTACCTTTTTTTCCGATATGGTTCAATTGACTTAAACCTCAAGCTGAATTATGTTTACCAAATGGGCAGAAATAACAGCAACAACCCCACACTTCTTTTCAGCATGAGACACAAACACAAACTTTGGAAAATCTGTGGCTGGCATCAAGGCCCAGCTGGCACTGCCAAGGCCAACACTATCCGAAAACAGAGTGCAGACGGGTCCTCCAACAGAGAATCACTTTGTAATTGCTTGTGCATCATTTTTTGTTAAAGTTTCTTGTGTTTACAAACTGAAACGACATTGTGCAAAACCCAGAATGTGTGTTAGTTTCAGTCTTTGGTTAAATTTGTTATCACAGCCCACCTGGTGAGGCTTTGGTGCAGATGTTTATAGAGATTTTGGAGGTCAACACTCCTGCCTTCAAAACTGCTGTGTGTTTATATGTTTTTGTAATAACTATTGTGAACTTCTTAAAATCACGATCCTCATAAATACTCTCTGCATTAGAGCAAAAACACTAAAGCTACACTGACACCAATGAAACATAATCATAACATTTTCAAACAGTGAAACGAGGAAATCCACTCTGCAAACTGAATAAAATAATATTAGCAAACGCGAAGCTACGATAACTCTGATAACTCCGTGTGTTACGATAACCTGTGTGTGTGTGTCCATTGTTTGCCTTCAAAGCGTGAACTTCCAAGGCTAGGGCCCCGGCACGTCTGACAGTATTTGATGTGATCTGTTTGAACAAGAACAATCTTGGCACAGACTTGTTTGCCCAGAGTAATCCAGCCACCGTGATCCCCGTGCACACACGAACGAGCCTTATCTGTCCCCGCCGTGAAACGAAGCTCCTCCGACTGCACCAACAAACACACCGACTACAGCCGAGTCAGACGCAGCTCTGCGGTTTAAACTGTGCAAAAGTCTGCTGCTCGGTTCGTCGCGGTGCAGAAAATAACCACTTGAAGGATTTCCGACCTCCTGCCACCCGTTAAACAGCCGCAGCGCAAAGAAAGACCACCGAGGCGCAAAGAAGAACCAAGAACAACAAACTTTTAGAGCCTTAAAAGTCCGTAGAAGTCCTACCTCCCATTGGACGAGTTTCCTCCGTTTCTGTTATCCTGTTCGGCCTCGAAAACCAGCCGGGCCACGGTGCGGGACGTGATGTTAAAATCCACTTTCTCACAGGAACACATCAACATGCTTCGGATGCACAGAGAGGCATCAGCCGGCCGGCTCCAGCTAACTGTTAGCCCCTTTAGCCAGCTAACCTTAAACACAGACCCGAGCTCTGAAGGCCACGACAATGATGCCGCTCAGACTTTATTCGCAGCACAGAAAGTTCCACTTACGCCTCCTCCATTTCACTTTTTTAAAAACACACCCTCCCTCACCCTGTTCTTAAAATGAATTCAAAGATAAAGACCAAAGTTAGCTCAGCACTGGAACCAAACTAACTCGCTATTGAAGTAACAGACAAAGCGTTTTTTGTCGAAAAGTGAAAAGGACGAGACCAGGGCGACCAGCTTAGTGCGCGGGGGGGGAGCTGTGCTAAACCTCATCAATAAAACACAACTCCTGCTGTCTTTTTCATAAATAAACACACAAAACACACACAAAAATGTTTAAGTCTATATGTTATGATTAAATGAATTTTTCGATGTATGTGCACACACACACACATCTAACAGCCAAACGAAACGAACCCCCCACGGACAAACTTTGTGGTA